GGAGGACCCCTCCTCAAACATGGGAGTTCCTCAAAGTTTTCCCTGGTTTTCCCTCTTTTCCTCAAAAAATGAGACATTGTTTTTACCGTGATAGGGCCAGCACTATGATGACACTCCGGTCTGCTGGAGCCGGGGCAGAGGGGCTCGCCGGGGCCGCTCTCCATACCGCAAACCACTCACTCTTCTGCACATTGATTTTGCAGAGCTCTGACAACCACGTCAAACAAACTATTCTACGACCATACGCAAATACACACTCAAACCGCCTCTCCCGGTCGCAAAACATCAAGTGAGCAGGCTATTCCGCCTAGTGAAAACCCATATACTTCTATGTTCGATTTGAAACCCAATCAGCTACCAGTCTAACATATTCTGGATGGGTAACACAGAGGAAACACCCGCTGGTCACAGTAAATCCATTGAAACATAATTTGCTACAGAAGTCGTAGGTATCTTGACAAATGGTTACACGTCTATGGATTATGAACGTATGATTCGATTCCACACACACACACACACACACGTCCACTCTGCGTCCTTTCCACACATCCACTCTACTATCAGTATGCAATGGACAAGGTTTTCGTTCATGTCTCATCAATGTCGAATAAAACTAGTTTATTCCTCGTACAGCTACCTCACAAGCTGTCTACATATAATGTCCTCATCGAGTTCGAGCTTATTGTGGCTAACGGTTGCTATTTGGCTGAAGCCCTACTTGTCATAGCGATCCATGTGGATGGAACGTGGATAGAGATAGGGTGTCAAGAGTTCCCCCCGAGAGCCTTTCTCTTCCAAGTCCACTCGGTGATAGCGGTGGCGTCGTGGTCTTGGGTAGAGGCGTCAACTAGACGGAGTGGCAGGTGCCAGGTTCAACTCCCGGTAAGGCAGACGAGTTTCAGCGTAAGTAATTGGAAGGATGTATTCGGATAGTCACCGTTCTAACCAAAGCAATGTAAACCGAAATGACCGGAATTGACTCCGCAAGGAAATAAAATATCCCCCTTAATTGCCAGGCATTCTGACCCTAAAATTCCACAAAAAGGACAGGACGTGATGGTCTAGGCGATTCAATTATAACAAAGCAACACAACATCACGCCGCGGACCGTTTTGGCTCTCAATGTTCGACTCGTTCCATCCAGAATGGTTCGTGCAAAAATTCAACAAGTACGAGTTCCCACATGGGGTGTGCCTCGGACACACAGACTTACCTCCAGGACGCTTCACTCATGGCTAGTCGGCTTGACTATCCGGGCACACACACACTGTCACTGAATCATCTCACGACAACTCGTCGGCGTCGTCCTGGGTGAGCAGGTCGGCTTCACTGAACTGACTTGTCTGTCGCTCTTTTGATGCGTTTTGTTTGTTCGTTTTTTGCGCGTGCACACCGTTACACAGCGTCGTGAGGGGCAGGGCGGGGGGTTGCCTACCGGGGCGGCGCGGCCATGGCGACTGCGGGACTGCGGGGGGCTGTCCTGCCGCGGGGTGCACGTCGGCGGCGGCGACGAGCTCGGTGGAGGGGGCGCCGGCCACCGGGGCTGACGGGGAGGGGGCGCGCCGCACCGCGGGGCCCCGGGGCCACGTCTAGCGGGCAGATTAATGCTCCCGCGAGGACCCCGCCGCGGCCGCCGCGGGCGAGCAGGGGGCGCTGCTCCCCAGGAACGCGACGAGGAGGACGGCGCGGCGGGGGAGCAGCAGCGCGTCCAGCGCCGCCGGGGACCGCACCTGCCGCCGGCGACTGCAAGAGGCGGCGTAGTGCAGGCCGCGCCCCGCCTACGCCCCCGCCCGCCGCCCTCCCCTCAGTGCACCCCGGGCATCGTCCGCGCCCCGCCAGCTGACACGCCACTGCCGCCGCCACAGCCTCGAGGGTCGAAGCGGCGGACGGGGGCGTAAGCGTAGGGTTGAAAATTTCCAAAATTTTCCGGAAAACTTCCGAAAAATTCCCGAAAGTTTCCGCTGGAAAATAACAAAAAACTTCCAAAGTCTGGGAAATTTTTCATCTTTTTTTCTTGGAAATTTTATGTTTGTTTTTGTTTTTTTTCAGAAATTTTTCGGAAACTTTCGAGTGCTTCCATTCCAACCCTCTGGCCCCGGCGCGCCCGCCACGCCGCCGCCGGCTCTTTCAGTTAGCCTCCCCCAAAAAGCCGCGCGAAAGCGCCCCCGCCAGTCCCCGCCAGCATGCAGAGACACGCCACTGCCGCCCAACTGCCACGCGGCGCGGTTTACTGCGGCAGGCAGGGGCGTAGTGTCCGACACTCACTCGCTCAGCTCGCTCCACGCACGGCACTATTTGTGGACCGCGTTGGTGCACGCTTGTCGGCCGGACCGAGGCCAGAGGCCCTCCCTATGTTCCTCGAGCTGACCAACCCTCTGACGACATTGAGGGGTGGGTTCGGTATCTCTAAGGGACAGACCTCTACAAACGTTGGCTGGCAATGGTAAATTCACCTGTAATATATTATTCGCCTCTACGAACAGACCCTTGATGATTTAGGTCCCTCTCAGAAATAATCAGGAAGTAGCAGGGACCCGCAGAAATCACCAGGGAACAGGTGTTCACATATCGACCGTATTTTCGCGATCTCAAGGCATATCGGTGCCGGTTTTTTTCTGATTCTTCTTTTTTTAAATTATTCTCCATTTTCTAGTGTGTGTGGCGGCGGCCAACAGCATGGCCTTCGTGGTCCCCCTCGTTTTCGTCCGATTCCGAACGTGTGCGAGAGTGAGAGGGAGCTAGAGAGAGAGAGAGAGAGAGAGAGAGAGAGAGAGAGA